GGAGCGGGGGGACGAGGGCGGGGCGACGAGGAGGCTCACGCTGGAGATGACGCCGGAGGACTCCGACACCGATGGGGAGGGAGCCAGAGGGGTGGCCAGGCGGAGGGCCACCGCGAGATCGGTAGCCGTCACCCGAGAGCGCCCCGGCCCCGACCCACCCCTACCCGCGGGAGGGTTGGGGGAGTCCCGAGACGGGGAGCGAGAGTGCTCCGACTCATCCTCCTCGGCAGGATCATCGAAGCGGGAGGAGCGCGAGCGGCGGTGGTGGGTGTCGTCATCAGCCGCAGGGCCCCCTCCCAGGAGACTGCCCGCCGAGAGGCGAGGACGGCCGACATGGGACGGAGGCTCGGGGCGGATCTTGAGGTCGTAGCCATCATCGTTGAAGAAGACCCGGATCGTGACGTGGAGTTTGGAGGAGTCCAGGCATTTCACCTTAACCCGCACCTCCTCCTCCTTGCGCAGGGAGAGCTCATCCACCACCACCACCCTGCCCAGGATCTTGGACATACTGCGGATGGTCCGCTCGGACCGGGCCACATCGGGGAGGCCAGAGATGAGGAGCCAAGCCGTGTCCAGGGTGGCGACGGCTCTGGGATCCCACTGTGGCTCAGCGATGTTCACCACGATGTCGTTGAGCGCCAGGGTGATGTTGTTGCTGCGAGTGCAGAAGCCCATGCTCATCGCGTCTGGGAACACCACGGAGAAGGAGCTGGGGGCCGTGGGAGTCACCTGCCAGTCCCACGAGCAACGGCACAGGTGGTTGAGCTCAGCCTCAATCAGCTCCGGGGTGGTGACAGCGTCGCCCATCACCGTCACCACAGCCAGCAGCGAGGGGGACGGTGGGGCGAGCTCGGGCACCTCGATGTGGAAGAAAGCCAAGTCCTCGATGCCGTGCCCGTAGATCATGAGCTCCTCCGAGACCGGGCGATCCGGGCAGAGAATCGCGGGGTGCCCGGACTCCTTGCACAAGTAGCACGAGGGTGGGTTGGGGCATGCCACCTGGAAGTGGCCTGAGAGGCCGCAGTTGAAGCACGGCTGAGCCCCGGCCGCGGCGGCGGCACCCGGGGGAGGAGCCACAGGAGCGGAGGCGGTGGTGGCTTGAGGGCGCGGGGGCCCCTTCTTCTTCTTCTTCTTGGATCCGGGGCGTCCCCGGTTGCCGTTACCACCATTGGACGGCGGGAACGCAGCCTGAGAGCGGGGGGGCTGGTAGCGGCTGGAGGTGGCGTCGGCTTCGGCGTTGGAGGGGAGCGGTCGGGGCGGCGAGGGAGACCGGTCGCGGCGCCGGGCCGGCGAGGGAGACCGGCGCCGAGGGGGCGGCCGAGTCTCCCGAGCCGGGGACCGGCCGCGGTCACGGTCAC